TCATTTAGGTCTGAGGCTTGATTGTTATCAACTGGTAGCTTAGATAATAGCATTGACTTCAAAGCTTTGGCCAGGCATCTGAATGTCCAGGCCACTAGTCAGTTAAATGGAATCTCCTGTTGAATACTGACCCTCACCCATGCATCTGCTCTTGTTCTCCTCTATTTTTTAAATATAATCTCCTTGCAGGCTCCTGCACACGTCAGTCTCTCTATTGATGTGCAGTACCACAGAACTCCTGGTTATTAAGTGAATTACATGTAAGTTCAGTGACCTGAATGGTAGGCCAGTAGGTCAAGAGGCCTGAGCACTCTCTGCATTAGGCCTTGGCCCAGGACTCCTTGGCCATTTGTCGGAGAAGCATCTGTCCTTATGCCCCCAATTAATTTAGCATGCACTGCTTTGTAAAGTGCCAATGTGCTGCGGAGGCAGGCGATGCGTTAATGTCGTATGGACATTATGGAGCCATTCATTCTGTCCCTGACAGTTCCAATTCTAGATCACTCTGCCAGACCCAACAAAAGGAAAGGGAATTTTTACTTGGTAACTCTTTGTGTCCAACTTTGGATTTGGGATTTTCTTACCTTTTTTTGGAAGATGTGGAAGATAGGGTGGAAAAAGAAGAGATAGGAAAAGGAAGGAATGAGCCTTTTTTTTTTTTTGGAGTTAAATACGCTGACCTTACTTTACTTAATTATACTTTTATATGTTTCCTAGCACCAAAAATGTAGCTCATGTGATCTCATAATGTACTAAGTATATAGGATCATGCATGCTGTGGTCTTTCACTCAAAAGTGGAGTTTTAACTCTGAAAGAGCCATTTTTATGCTCTTTCTCACTTCTTCTCACAGCCATGTGGAAGCCTATAAGTAGGCTTCCAGTTATGGAAGAGTAATTATCCAGACTGACTTAAGGAGAATTTAGGAAGGAATCAGAGACGAGCTTCATTTTTAACACAGAACAAAGAAGTAGACTCTCACATGCCAAATGGGTACCGACTCCTGTGAAACCTGTGTGGTCATTGGCTTTCAAGGTTACCTCTAAGTTGCATGTCAGTCTCAATTTTTTAAGGATGCCAAAGTTCCAACACTGTTGACTCTGCTCACCTCCTGAATTCCCACATAGGGCCTCTGCAGAGCTTGCTAGAAAAGGAGTCCTATGGTCCGTCTTGCAGCAAGCACAATTTTATTGTTATAAAAGTGCATGACTTTTGTTCACTTTGCCTCTGTCCCTTTTGAGATTCATTTGTCTATGATGAATGTCTGTGTTCTCTTTCCAGGGAAGAGTGATCCCTTTTGCTTGTTGGAGTTAGG